TTAAACCTCCGGATGACGAGAAATAATAGCTAATTATTCAAGTTCGCCTTTTGGTTTAACGCTGGCAAGACGCATCGAACGATGCATCGGCTGCAGTGATTAATATACATCGCGTGAGATCGTATAATTATAAATAGCGTATTATTATATAATATATTTTATCAAGGTATAGCAGAGTCGAGTATGGAGTTAGCGCTCATCAGGCTAAGCATCACTCGCCGACGATGGATGAGTGACTGGGTATTTTTCACCGGCATTCTAATTAATTCTGACACCTCGAGTCCCTACAAATAGTGGCCTGTCTAAATTTGTCCCACACTATCAACTAACCCTTCTCCGGCTATTTATTACGAACGTCCCTTCTACGCTCGAACAGTAGTGGTTTACTAATGGTTACTTTCAGTAGCGGGCAAAGCGAAACGTTTTCCAGACTTCTAATTTCCCGCGCCAAGTTGCTAGACGCTTCTAGCGACATCTGGCATATTTTTTGGCTATTCTAACGGTTGAAGTCACTTCCTTCCAAGCTGTCGCAAAGAAAGCACGGATAGTTATTCCGATTGTGAGACATGATCCCAGCAAAACATAATCCATGCACCGTATTAAAGAACAAAACGAGTCCAGCTACGATGGAACTTCGGATAATCGAATGAACGAAAAGACGGAAAGAAAATTCCAAAAATAAGAAATGGCACAGAGGTACGAGACGAAGGTTCCTATTAACGTTAATAGGAGCAGTAACTCATAATCGGGAGCCGGAGAAGCGACGTTTTTATGGCTGACAGGCGCGACGGATAGATTGCAAAATGTCCCGGTACCAAAACGATCTTCGAGTTCCTAGGGTATTCTAGGGTTTTGGAAGACACGTGACAGAAATCTGGAAATGACAGCCGGAGTCGGCTACGAGGATGACAGGCGAAATTTTGCCACCGATATGAACGATTAATATATAATCGGATCATTCAGAATCTCATAGCGCGCGGTAAATGTGCATACCGGAAGAGACGATGCATCGAGGCGTGGAAAAATCTCGAACCCCGATCGATTCGCACCGTGGAAAAATCCGCCGATAATACTCTCCGCGCGGTTGTCGAAGCAACGGCCTACAGTGGCGGATTTTAACCGAGCGAGTGCATTAATTTACCGGCAGTATGCAAAGTTCTCGCAGCGGCTGTGGCAGTGAATTAATCGTGCCACGGTTTGTCCGCCACCGGACAGACGACGCGGCGTAACCGGCGATTCCCACTTATCTCTCCTTACCGCCACGCTGTTGGATTGCTGGCAGCAGAGCATTAATGTCCGCCTATTATCCCTCAATTTGGCAGATTCGAAAAATCCACGGTACAAACTCTGCCCATAAATCGGCGGATTAACCCCGCGTTTAACATTATCAATTACCCCCTGACTGTAGACTCGCCGGGTCACGAAAGTGTCTGTACGTGTACGCGCGGGAGAAAGGAGTTCGTGGACGACGAGGAGGAGCAGGAGGAAGAAGGAGGAAAAAGAGGAGACGTGGAGGGGAAGGTGAAACGAATAGGAAGGCGAAACGCGGTGAAACCGCGTTATTACAGGTAACGCTCGGGGTTGACCTTGCGTAGGCGAGGCGACGATGGAAGGAGAGCAGAGCTCGCATCCGGCGAGACTTTTCGCGTCGACTGGGTAAATCGGATAGCCAGAAGGGGGTTCGGGGGTACCTAACCCAACGCTAAACGCGTCCCGAGAAGTTCGGGTATCGTTTCTTGGAAAACCGTGCATCTGGTTACGACTACGAGGAAGAGCGATGGATAAGAAAGAGGAAAGAATCGGCAAAGAGGCAGACAGAGGTGAAGAATCTGGACGAGCCGTGTCAGGGCGTTCCGACGACTCTGTGCTCCATTGGATACCAAAGATCATAGACCTGTAGTGGAAGCACGGCAAGAGTTAATGGCCCTAACGAGACGTCCAGAACGTTGGGATTCAGAAAGGGAGAAAGAGTAGCTGGAGAACCGGCGGTGGGGAGAGAAGTGTCCGAAGCGGAGGCTAATTAAGCGAAGCCGCCCGGTGCAGGGAACGCACGGAAATTACGGTTAATAATACCGTGATCGCATACGCGCGCTCGCGTGCACGCGAGTACAACGTGTTCCGAGCTGGACCGAGCGTATTCGTAATACGATTGGACGATCGGCGTGCACGGTCTCTTGGAGATTTCCTCGGCGATAAGGGCAAGGGAAGACGCGGGCCAGAGATGGTATCTGTAACGCGGGCTTTTACATTGAAATTTTCCACGCGAAGATGCGAGAGCCGAGGGAAAACGTTCCTGGAAACGCGTACGCGATGCGTTACTCGATCATCGTTATTACTCGTATCGGTCGGACAACTGCAACTTTCGACGGGAAGGTATTGCGCCCGGAGCGTGGCGCGATTATAGTGATTAATTCGCTTATTACGAAGCGAGTCCGCTGGACGTTTTCGACGGGAACCCGCGACTCCTCGAATACTAAGGCGAAGCGACGTTGGGAAGCGGCGCGGCGCGGCACCGAGCGGCACCGAGCGGCGTGGCGCGGCGTGCGTGCCGTGTCAATTCCGGTATTTACGACGTCTCGAATCCAAAGGTCGAGCAGCTGAAATACGAGGCTGCGATTCAATTAAAAATCAATCTCCGCCACGATCCATCAAACCGACGAAACACCAGGCGCGCGGGCACGCGGGTTCGCGTTCGTTTTCCAGTCATGCATCTTCGGTCGAACGCGTTTCTGCCGGCTGGCGTGCGCCCGGCCGAGCACAACGGCCGTTTGCATAAATCTCCGGCTCGTTGATTCACGAGGAACAACCGACTCGCGTGCGTGCGTGCGTGCGTGCGTGCACGCGTTAAATAATATTCCGCGTTGTCCCGCGCTTTGCTGCCGCGAACACGCCGTGCCTCTCGCCGAATCCAATCGATTACCTCTTAATCCCGTTACCTGCACGCGTTAAGCCGATCTCCTGGAGTCTCCTGCCTCGGGTGCCTCTCTTCCGCGAAATTTCCGTTTTCCATTAGAAATTCGTCGAATTGGCCTGGCCTTTCTTTAATCTTTCTTTCGTTACATCGATAAGCCGATGTAACGAAAACCGGTTATCCCGTGGAATCGCGAGCCTCGTGACCGACGCGAGTTTATCGGATTCCCTCGCGAAGTTTTCGCACGCGGAACAAGATTTCGTGGACATAAACCGTCCGCCGGTGGACATAGATCGGTCTGTTCGACACGAGATGTAGACATTCCCGCGACAAGGATTCTAAACGCGAAAGAGGAGGACTACCCGTGGCGACGTTAGTTGCAGCGTAAGGCTCGATCGTTTATTCGCCGTTGATTACTTTGGAATCGGGAGGAAATTATCCGGCAGTTATTTACGGTGCGTCGCGCGAGGCGAAAGGTCAATCATATGCGTGCGATCGTTCTTGGGGAAGCTCTTCTAGCCGTGAACGTTGACTTCTCCTGACCTTTGGTATTAAGTCGAAGGAAATTTAGTGGATATTCGCTTTCCTAGTCGAGAGATCGGTAACGCGATACGCGTTAATCGGTGCTCGATAATCCACGAGTCACGCGTGGTCCGCTAGAAATACGACGAAATCGTAGGGGAACGGTGGACAGAGGGGGTCCACCGACGCGAGAAATAACGCAGCGAGTTCCGAAAACGAACGGAGAGGAGGTTGCTCGATTAAACTGTGAAACGGCTGGTATAGGAATACCGTATAGCGGCCACTTAGCCACGTAGAGGCACCCCGATCTAGCTCGTGTTCGACAGCGATCGATCGATTCGTGGGAGAAAATTTTGTTCTCCCCCATCGGAGCCGGAACAAATTGCGAGTAACGATACCACGGCGATTTCGTGTATCTGAAAATTACGCGGCACTAATTACGAGCATTTACCGGTAAACGAGCCATTACCACGTAACGAGGTAAGCCTTGGAAATTACAATTTTACATCGATTACGAGGCGATCGAGACGGCGACTTGAATAATCGAATGAAAGACGCGCGGCGGGTAGCGGCGGGTAGCGGCGAGTTCGCGGTCAAAAGTTAAACCATCGCGACCATACTCCCCGCCTATGCCAGTCCCGCCTACGGCGTCGATCGATCGCGAATCTATTGACCGCCGCCGCGTATTAATTAGTAACAGTAATGTCACGGACATTTAACATGCTTGTCGGCCATGGGTCGCGAAAAGGGCAACGATATGCAGCGTGCAATCGCGCAGTCACGGGGTCGGAGATCAATGAAAAATATCTATCGACCGATGTGGAACACGGCGTGTATCGTTGCATATCGAGATAAGTCCTTATCGACGAGTGATTTAAACGTGGTCGATGGAAATACGGAATTCGAAAGTCGGAGCGCGCTTCGGAAGCGTCCGACCGATCGACGGAGAAGATACAGACAGTGGATGAAAAGAAGCGTTAGCCGGTGCAGCTTTTCACGGGGCACGCAGGCTCGAGCGGCCTGTGAAACGATTGAACTTTCGGCTGAATTTTCTCGAAAGCCTAGAAACGTCGTCTGCGACCGGTAGACTGGCGGAGTTTGCAACGGGAGATTTACGACAACGGGTACACGGGTGCACGTCGGCGTAAATCGCGCGTTTAAATAATATACGGAGGAGAAAAAATGGCGTTAATAACGGCCGACTCGTTATTCCGTTCGATCGTTTGGTGCATCTGAACGCTCGGAGCAGCGGGCGCGCGCGAGCAAGCTTTTATTTCCCGGCTGAAAGCGAGTAGCGTTCCCGTAGAACCATATATGTCGTTGGCCGGATAACGTACGATTCCACGAAATATAGTAATTAGCGGGGCAACGCTAACGAACTCGAGCTCTTTTCCACGTTTACGCGTCAGCCGATGAATTAACGACCCGTTGAACGCTCGATGCGTGTATACGAAACTGGACGAAATTACGAAATCCCCTCGTAAACGGGGTAATAACGGTCGGCAATGGTGTCGGCGGTGTTCCCGCGTTGGCCGGCTAATTAATATTCCATCGATTTTTGTTGCAGTGTCGCCGCCTTTGCCGCCTCTGGGAGAAACAGCGTGGGAGAGAAACCGGGAACGCGAGCGCGAGAGGGTGCGAGAGAGGAGCACGGAGAACGAGCACAGGGAACGGCAGCAAGAAAGAGAATCAGGGATCAGGGAGAGGGAGCCGCGGGATCGTGAAAAGGAACGGGATCGCGATAGGGAGAGGCAAAGGGACAGGGAAAGGGACAGAGAGCGGGACGTGTCGGTCCGCATGATGGAACCGCTCGATCCTGTCTTCGTTTCCCCCTCGGCGGCCCTGCTCGCGTTGCAGAGGATAAAGGAAACGTCCCTGTAAGTACTTTTACCGATCGTATCGCGGTACCCGCGGCGAACCGGCCGATTTTTTCCACGCTACCCGACAGATGTGTAGCAGGATCGCGCGCTCGCGCTCGGGCTCGGGCTCGGGCTCGCACACACCTCCGAACCGCGACTTTTTTGCTCTCGCGAGGGGGCAACAGGATGCGCTCTATTACCAAGGAAAGTGGAACTCGGAGTATACGCGAGTCGCTGACTCCGCTGCTAGAAGCGACCGTCGACACGGTTCGGCGTTTAGAGAGGGGAACGAGCAAGCGTTCGCAGGTACACACGCTCGCGTTGCTTCATCGTCTCTTTTCGCGTGCGCGATAAGCGAACGGTGTACCGAAAAGCGTTCGCGGATAATCGTCATCGACGATTCCTCTGTCTAATTATGTACGACGCTTCGCGGAAATCGATAATAGCACTCGCGTGACGGTACGAAGATACGACAGATGGAAAATGTAGCGTAAACGTCAATTACGCGATCGAATGGAGTCAACAAAGGATTTACATACCCTGCCATCCGGCTAGCGAGGGCTGACTTTATTATCAGTTTACAATCGGTCGAAAACAGCGGGATATCGCGGCCGGTCGGTCGCCGCGCCGATGGTTACCGTGCCGTCATATTTCATCGAATGTACAAGCACGTCCAGGGTTAATAGGACGAGATCGTGCACCCGCTGTAAATCTCGTTTAATTTGCTCTCGTGCGGCCGCGACTGTCTTTTCCATTGTCGAGCGAGCGTCTGGGCCCCGATCTCGACGGAAAGGCCCGACGACGTTAGAAAACATAGTAATCTCGTGACACCCGGGTGCACGCTAACAAACCTCATTTCATACGGCGCGTCACGATTTCTTTCCGACGTGTGTACGCCCCGTATACACCGCCGCGCTCGCCAGCACGAGATCGCTTTGAATAATTTCGCCTAGCGTCTTTCGTCCCGCCACGATGACAGACTATGACATAACGGTGTCTATCCGCCTATCTCGGAATTCTCCTCTTCATCCTCGTTTCGGTGTCGATGACTTTATTAGAGCGTCTCAACGACCCTCGACGTCCTAGGCTGATTCGACGCCGGCTGTCGTTTCGAGCGCGTTCGCTCCTACGTCGCCTCGAGTATTAGTCCAGTCCCGACTGTTAATATAACTGTGAACTCGCGTTCTTTCGCCCGTTTTGGCAGGCCGATGCCAATAATGGTACCCGCGGATCGTGTCCGTAGATCACGCGTACCGTGAAATCGTCACCAGTATCGCGGATCCAGGCCTTGTCTTCTCGTGTCCCAATGCCGTTAACCGATAGTTATACTTCACGTTTCTCATAAATCTCCGTCGGTTCGTTGTCTGTTTCCGTCCAGGTATACGTGCACGCTCGCGACTTGCACACGCGAGACTGGTACGCGCGTGTACACGCACCGTTGTACATCGGTACCCGCATGTCAGGGCCCTCCTGCGGAGGAACTGCCGCAAGCTTGCAGCAATACTTCACGACAAATGTACTTTCCAGTTCCTCCTTCGCCTTTCCAGCGAACCGCACGGTTACGGCTTCGTCTTCGAAACAATGATCCATTTGGTAGTCCCCTTCTTCGTGCGCACCGCGCCGCGCCGCGCAGATTTCGACGCCGGGAGAAGCCGATGGAATTATCGCGGAATAAATTGCCACGGGAATATCGTATCCCGTATCGTCGGCAACTATGGGAATAATAATCGTCGCGAGGAAGTAGACGCGATAGGAGTTGCGACGCGCCGGAAACCGCTCGGTTCTCGACGCCGTGTCTTCTTCAAGGTCGACGCAAAGGGTCTCGCGATACCTTTGCGCCAGTGAAAAGTCTCCGAATCGATGATTACCGTATCCCATCTTTATCCTGTCGCAGATAGCGAGGCTTGTTTCGTTATGACAAACTGGACCGGTATTTCCTCCGCGCGTCGGCTATGCAGCTCCACGCGTTTACGCTCGTTCCTTTCGTCTAATCTCGGGCGCTGAGCGTAAAATATCCCAGAGTCTGTCGTAGAAATAATCCGAGCGCGCGATCTCTTCGGCTGCGAAAGAATGGGAAACGTTTAGCGCGCCTGTCATTGGCAGAGGCTAGCCGTAAACGCTGGACGAGCTCGCGGAAATCGGGAAATGGCGCGAGAAGGTTTTGTTTCTCGGCCGCGGGCAGATTCCCGGGATGGAAGCGAGTCGGATTATCGCGAGTAGAAGCAGATTTATGCCAGTTTAAACAGCGAGCTGCGGGTCTGGTTTACGGCACCGAGCGTGCGCGAGGCCAGGTTGCGGCCCGATGAAATATGGCACGGCCAGGGATGCGTCAGTGGTGTACCGCTGGTGCCGTTTCATCCCGTCGACTCGAAACGCGGGAATTACGCCTGGTCGTCGCGAGGACGAAGACCCGGTAGCGCGGATTCCTACCACGTGGACCAGCGGAATTCCGCCGCGCGATCGCTTCATTTATATCTCGCGCGAATTTATAGAGAATGCCGATGTATCCGCGACTTTGTTTATCGAGCACTCGTTTACGAGGAGACTTACGATAGCCTTCTTCGGGCTTCCCCTCGCCGCGTTATGATGCTTTAAATCTTGGATAAATACCGACGTTCGTGGCCATCGTTGCACCGTCTGCGGGCAAATTGGTGCATCGAATGGGTACAATGATTGTTCGATGCCTTAAATTACTCTTTAACGGTCACTGGTTCCGTACGAGAGCGGTTAGGCGAGACGATGGAGCGCGCGTACGAATTTGGCCACGAAACGAGTTTCGTCGGGTGTCGAGTCGCAAGATTGATCGATTCGACGCGTCACGCTTCTTTTTGCTAGCTCGAGACCAAGTTGAACAACCGGTGCACGTCATTGGAAAGAATCATTTAGCCGATAATCGTCGGCGATCAGGCATCGCGACGCGATGGTCCGCTCGCTTGGATAAGAAAGGGTGGTTCCACAGTCTCGGAACGATCGGTATTTCTTTTTGCCCCGAAGAAAATTGCCCGCTTGTACGAGCATTGTTTAGCAAGAAAATATCCGTTACGGTAGCAATTAGTCTAAATGCGCGCGAATCCGCTTTTACGATTTTCATTTGACACGGTTTGGAGGAAGAAGAAATCTAATTTTCATTCTCCCGTACGTGTTTATTTACCTTCGTTTCTTTCCCAAAAAAACCCTATTTTTTTTCCCTCCCCTTTCTTTTTATTATCTATATCCTCTTATTTATTTGCGCTTCAGCTGTTCCTTTTCGCGTTCGGATCGCGTCTAACCGTGTAAAACTAATCAATGTTTCGAGTTTTACGAGCAAGAAAATTGCGGACAAGAAAAAAGAACTGGTTACGTTTGCGAATAAACTTGATGGACGCACTAAGTATCATTTTCCAACTCTTGAAATTGACAAACGGTAGTCCCGGCTAGCGTTTTTCTGGCTGGTTAGACGATGGTCTAACTGCTTTAAAATTACAATAAACTGGCGCGTAATTTGCGAGTCGATTGTAAACGATAATGGAGTATCAACGTTTACCCCGTTGGCCATGCCATAATGGACAAATAATTCATGAATATGCATGGGAATGGAGTGCAAAATGGAGCACGTTTAGACGAAGGGGCCTGTGATTTATGAACGCGTTTAAAGTATACGCGCCATTATAACCATACGTACCATACTAACGCTTCGAGAGGAGGAACTTGATACAATTACGTAATTCGCGCGCATGTCCGAACGATTAGTATCTTTTTAAATCCGATATTAAATACCCTCGAACGCGATGGGGAATATAATCGGTGTACGTCGGAAAAAATAAGAAAAGACGGAGCCAAAAATGCAAAGGTACGAAGGAAAATACTTACGCGCATCGGCTCGAGACAATGGCAATCGTCATTACCGATTCGTCTTGAAACTCCACGGCAGAAGTTTCCGTGTAAATCGGAGGGCAAGGGGTTTAAACGATCCGGTCCCCGTTTTCTTGAAACCCACTCGAAAGCTGAAAGCCGGTCATCTGTCGGCGATAACCGATTATTAGGCACTTTGAAATCTATGAACCCGTTATGGAAAATCACAGACCGTCCCTCGAGCTCTCCGGAATATATGCGGCTGATTGACAGCTCTGTTAATACGACCGTGCAAATCGTGCATCCCGTTAAAAGACGTTGCTCTGCGTGCGCTTCCATGTAACCGCGCAGATTAACGTAATGACCGCCACTTTTTTGCCCCCCTGCCCCCCTCCAACCGGTGGCTAGTTCGCCGATATTATTCGTAAGGTCGCATTCTTCCATCCTTCGCGCTCGTACGTCACGTATTTGTTTCGCTAGTTCCACGTCCAACCGGTCGTAATCGGAATACGTAGGAATGCGTCGGAACGCATCGGTACGCGCGAATAACGCGTGCCAACAATTTTCCGCGTAAATTTATCCCAAACGCGACCGAATTTGTCCGATCCTGCCGGTCCATTGGACGATGGAGGCACGGAAGATCGTCGACAGTCGTACGCGTTTCCTGACGCCCTCTATGTGTCAGCCGACGGCGCATGCGTCGCGTCGGGTCGCGAAAAAGATGGCGGTCGGACTGGATCTCGATGGTTTGGCGCGGTTGCGTAATCGAGAGATCGGTTTTCCTCGAATTGCTTGTACTTTCACCGGTGGGTCAAAGTAAGCCGGTCGTAGAGATAGCTAGGAATTTCAAGAAGACGTTTGTTCGGAATTTCAGGGTGTTTCACAAGCGTACGGCGACCGGAATAGGGATCGGCGGTAGAGGAAACGCCGGTGTCGGAGGAAACGGCGGCAGCCTAGCGGTGGACAACGAATGCGGCGACGCGTTGAAGAGACGCAAGGTTCACAGATGCGACGTGGCGGGCTGCGACAAGGTGTACACGAAGAGCTCCCACCTGAAGGCTCACAAGAGAACCCACACCGGTAAGTTTGTCGGTAGCGGGGACGCGGATGTACGATTTAAGCGTGTTCCAGTGTCTTCCGTCAAGCGTGATCGATCGTAAACCCGTGGTTAAATATCATTTCGACGCGTCGTCGATTTTATAACGCGTCGAGCACGGGGATATAAATTCTCTCGTTCTCCTGGCATACGATACACTCTCGTCGATCTGTAAACGCGTCTACGCGCGTGGATGATTCACGCGCGCTCGTCATAGTTTCGTCATCGCCGGTGCCAGCCGGGTCCGTCTCTTCTCTCGGCGCGGAGGATCACGTCGGTTCATAGGTGACGTTACCGTTCCAAGGTGACGGCGCAAGGTGTGCTCGCAGTTACCGAGCGAGCGGCGCGCAACACTTTGAAGAAGGAACCGAGCGACGAAGAGCGGCTAATTGCCGGGACGATATCCCCGGTGAGTGGCTCGTCGCGATTCCACGTGGTCGCGTTTCTTTGCGCTTTGGTTACGTTTCGCGAACCACCGCGACTCCGCGCGCAAATTGTAAAAGGAAATTCCCCTTTTTTGCCCGCCACCAGGTTCAGGCCCCGTTTTAACGCGCACCGCCTAGTCGTTAGGCGATAGATCTTCCCACGCGAACGTGGCGCGGGGACAGCGTTATTAACGAATAAAACGGCGAGATTCGTACCGATAACGACAATGCTCGGCTGTTTAAGTATAGCCGATGGCTAAGCGGCCTGTCGCCGTGGATGGGTCAACGAGCCGCGACCGCGAGCCATTACTCATCGACCGCCGCCTTTGATTCCCAGCCGAGATACCCGAACGGGGAAATCGTGGTGAACGGAAGTCGCGTTTGTCACGAGGTTCGCGTGATCGCTGCCGCGATTTCAGGAATTTTTCGATCGGTACTCCCCGCGTTCGAGGAGGATTCGATACTGCTCGGTCGTCCTCGAGACGCGACGGCCGCCGAATGCCAAGCATATTCGTCCCATAGATTGGGTTTTTCGAGCGACCGATCGGAAGGCTACGACGAAGAGGGGGGTCACAGGGGTCTTCGGCATTCGCGCGGCGTATGGCCTGGAGCCGCTTAGAAATTCGATAGTACGGTCAAAGTGACTATACGCTGAATACTATCCATCGAGTATGCATTTTTAGACGCGGCCCCCGCGTTTCGTTTGGTACATTCGTAGCCGGCCATTTATTATCGTCTCGCGAGAACCTGGAAGAGGTCACACCGTTCGTTCCTCGCTCTATACACACCGCGGCCGCAGCCACACACGTGTGTACACAGCGTCGAAGGAGCCGCGGCTCGAAGAATTTCCGGTGGATAGGTACCTTCGTGAAGGCATTGCCGCCGTCTACGGAGTGCAGAGGCGGCGGGGAGAGGGCGTGGTCGTGAGAACCAGGATCTTTTGTCTGGTCCATGGTTCAACCAAGACGGTGTAACCGCGGTGCTCAACCTGGCCCCGACCGCTCGTGGGATTCTGCTGCGAAAAATTATCCTTCCTCTCGGTGTTGATTTTAACCGCTTAACGAGGTACCCGGCACTTCCCTTCCCTCTTCCGTTTCCCTGCCACTTTCCAACAAAATGCTTCCTCGGCTCCTCGTCTTCTTGTCGTGTCTCATGATCGACCGACAACGGGAAAGGGCGATACGTTCGCGACGATTAGGCGTTCCGAACCAAAATTCAATTTTCCGCAGAAAAACGTTTCACTCCGTCCATGCTATACGGATTGTTCAGTTACGCGCCGCGAACATTATGTTCTCTTGTCCAGAGACCTCCTTCTCCCATAGACAGTCGTTAGACGGTATCCGTGCGCGTGTCCATAGCCAAAACGTCACCGGTTTCGACATATATCGGGAACTCGCGGGAGATCAGCTTACAAATCGCTATTATATCGGCTTATTTGCCACGCATTTCCTCGTTCTGGATTCTGTTTCTGGTAAGATCAGATGTTACGGAAATTTGAAAACGTTCCGCTAAAAACTCAGTAGGAATCGTCCTCGCGGGAACAAAAAGGCAAACAGTGTGAGACACATAGTTCTCTCGAATCATTGCACATCTACTACTACTGTTAGTTACGTGGTCCTTCTTTATATACATTTTCGATCCCTTCCTCTGTCGTCAGCTCGCCGATAACCGGCTGCGACGTATTTTATCGAACGTCGAATTTACGTACTCGCGCAGCTTTCTTACTGCCCATCTCGATCGTTGCCATAGTGTCCAGGACTCCTTGTAAATATTCGAAAGACTTTTATTCGTGGGATTATCTCGTACGTTTTGCTGGTCGTAATCGAAGGTCAGAGATCGAGGATTCATCGACGCGTCGTAGAGACACGGACAAACTCGGTGTGCCGACACTGGCGTCGTTTGCATCTTAGACGATCTAGCGAAGTAGCCCTTTGAAACGAGCATGGCCCATGGATATCGCGACACGTTTCGCGCATTAGGGCGCCATTATCGCGGGCTTTACGAAATCCTGGTCGCGTGATCCGGCGATACGAAAGGCCAGAGACTGGTATACCCGCGCGGTCGTAGTGTGTCGTATACCAGCGCTCGCTATAATAATTGTTTCAACGACTGTGCAGCACGGTCGTAGGAACGTGGACCGGCACGTCTATCCATCATTCTAACACCGCGGCATTATGCAGCCATCGAGATATCTTTACGGCGGCGGATACTGGCACTCTGGATGTGGGAAATGCCAATTCATTGATTACTGTAATTTCTACCATTCCACTGCATAAATCGTTCTACCGTTGATCGTGCTCGCGGCACAACCATCGTTGTACCGTCTGCTCCCAGAAGCGTTGGAATTTGTCTCGTATGAATAACCTATTGTTCCGAAAGGTCGACGCGAAACGAGGTTATCAGGGTGCCGCGGCGCTTTGACGATAACGCGTGCGATCGTTGACGCTCGTGATCGATGATGGTGAAAGGTGGCGAGCGTTGGAGAGAAAAGTTCGATTCGATGATATTCCATAATCGCGATATTTCTTAATCTCGGTTACAAATTCTTGGACAAACCTCCCCACCTATCCCCGTTAACACACGCGGGGACCATTCGTTGAAATTATTCCCGCGAGATCCAAACGAGGATGATTTTCGTTTAAAAACGAAGACGAAGAGGAGGACGAAGGCGAAGACGAAGACGTGGAAGGAAAATTATCGTTTTCCTTACCGACACGTAGTTTCAGTAGCGATTCAGCCGGTGTCGAGCACCGCCATTCCGAAATCGGTGGGCTCTCTGGCACGGAAGAGGCCGAAAAACGGCGAATCGAAGCAGCTAACCATGATTGATGATTCTCACGGCTCGAACGGTAGAATTTGCATCGAATTTATATCGTGCCGCTCGCAAACTGTATAATGGAGTAATAGCGGTCCGCGGCTACCGCTTTCGATATCGTGTATCTCGCCGAACACACGCCACGAGCATCGGAAGCTACATTGTACCGGTAGAGGGGGCGAAATATTACGAGGATGCGGTAAATGCCGGCTACGGCTCCTCGTAATAGCGCTGGCGCTTTCACGATGCGCTGATCCACGCGAAACACCCCGGCTACACCCGCGGCTATCGCTAATAAATACTTAATCCCTCGATTATTATCCGAAAGTGCGGCTGGTCAGCGCGTATTATGCCGGGTCGTTGGTCCGCGTTCGGTGAACGGCGTGTGTGAAAGAATTCGATCGATCTCGATGCGTTGTAGCGTGACCCTTGATGGACAGAATCTCGATATTAATTATAGCGAATTAGCCCCGGCGCGAACTAGACGATCAACGACGATGGGTTCCGCGTATATCGAAGGGGAACGCGCCACGAGTGCTCGTCCCTTCGAGGAGGTTTCCAGGGCTAGCGAGGGGGGCCCCGTTGTTAACGATACGCTTCTGCATCACTGTTCGAGGCTACGATTACCTTCGCGGTGCACAATTTCCTTACCTGCATGATCCGTATTCCCTCGTTACTTCGAGATCGGCGCGCTCTGGACACGGTTTTAAATTAAATCTCTTTTTTTTCCCCTCTTCCCGCTTTCTTCTTTCCTTTCGGTTAGCCGCGATCCTTGGATTTCGGGCCGATCTGGCTCGGATAATTTGCTACGATTATCGGCATCGGGGTGATTATCGTGGCGATCGAAACGTGGAGCTTTACTTCCCGCGTTCCTTTTTGGCGGTGAGAGAAAGACGAGTTGCAACTCGTTGGCATTGCAGGAGAGGTGGGCCGATTGCAGGAGAAATCTACGATCGGTTAATTTTTAACCCGGGGATCGGTGGTCGCTTTAATCCGTGAATTCACAGAGGTCGAAGTTTCGACTACGCGGAATCCTTTTACGATCGACCGTAATACGTATGTATTCTTCGAGCAATGGGGAATAATAAACACCCGACGTTTCGCCGTGAGAAAGAACGGAATTAGGTAGCAATTCGATCAAGCGTGTAAACAAAGTGGGTAACGGTAAATGCTAAAATCACGTGGCTCACAATGAAGGAGTTTCCAAAGCGTCTAGCTATACGAAGAAGCTAGCTTTCTCAGCGGGCAACGCGTTAAAATTCATTAGTTTCCCGGCTCGGACTCTCTCCCATCGGGTGGAGAGCATTAATTGAAGTTAGCGGCGATCAAAGGTACACTGGTACCAGGCTCATTCCCGGGTAGACCGATTTCTCGAATCGAGCGGTGGCAAACACAATTAAATCCTGTTTCCCAACGGAGGCACGCTTACAAATGTCGCTATTAGACAGTCGGGGCGATTATTTAATTCCATCTAAACCGGCTCGCCGGAGAATCTCGTACCAGCCGCACACGTTAATGGTGGCCCGTTGATGAATCGTACTCGCCGCGGTTAATTGAAGCTTCTCGAGTAACGCACGAGCATCCCGCGCTGTTATATTTTATTAAAGCACGATAACGGCGTAAATAATGAATGGCGCGTAATGACCGCGATTAAATTGAATCGCGCGTTCGCGAGTTATTACATCGCCGCAGTATTTCTTGCCGCTAACGAGTGTTGTTATTTACAAGAAGCGGTACACCGCCG